CGCGATCAGAGTTCGAGAGAACCCGAAACGCGTAAAGGTCAAGGCAAGGGTGGAGCGCCAGCGGGGGTGGGCTCATGCAGGCGCACCCCCCTCACTGAGACACCCTAAACCCTAAACCTCAAACCCTCAACCCTAAACCTTAAACCCTAAACCCAATATTATACCCCCTATAGTGTCAGGAACTCCTCGCATGATGCCCCATGGCCCAGACAGCAACTTGGCTCTGGAACGGCCCCCTGGGTTCAAGATGGGGCGCCAAGAGGGTTTAGGGTTTACGGTTTAGGGGTTTTGGGTTTAGGGGTTTAGGGTTTAGGGGTTACATTGGGGTTTATCATGGGTATAAAGGGGTTAGATTGGGGCGATTACAGGGGATGTATTGGAGTTCTATTGGGGTGATTTTAGGGGTTATATTGGGGTGATTTTAGGAGTCCTATTGGAGTTCTATTGGGGTGGTTTTAGGGTTATATTGGGGTTATATTGGGGTGTTTATAAGGGTTGTATTGGGGTTACATTGGGTTTTATATAGACGTGACGGTGCTTCAAGTTGCTGGGTTTCAGGGATTGAGGAGTTGAGCTCAGTCATGAGCATCCTTCGCATACAACGTGAAACGTGTTGCCAGCACCGCCTATGCATTCGTCCCTCAACGGCAATGTCAGTTCTAGAATTCTAGAGCTTTCGCCAACCAACTCTGGAATTTGTTGTTCTAGTTGCCACCGGAACCTTCGAATGAGGTACGGTAGTCAATCTGCAGATAATTCGCTTGCAGGGATGACTTTGCTTTTCAGTCAGGGATTTGGCAAAAGCTAGTTCTCTCCGATCTGGTTCTTCTACGCCCCGTTTATCTGAGCATATTTGGGCAATCAGAATTGCAATCTCTGATTATAAAATCACTACATAACACCAAACCTTTTACCCATTGTTTGTGCCTGGGATTCTCCAAACCACAACGGCCTACGGCCCCCTTCTTTTGATTTGTCATCCTGAGCCCCAAAATCTCAACTCTTGAGCCCTTGAGGATCAGCCCTTAAGCTCCATAGAAGGAACTGGGTGGATTGGACGGACCACCCGCTGACTCATGGGATCTCCGCGCTTCAGGCTTCCGACCAACTTATGGGCCGTTTCTCCCAAAAAAAGGGATAAGGAGTTTGCAGGAATACAGAGCTGGTGACTGACTTATGCCGTTCCCTTGTGAGGACTCTTCATGATTCAACACCATGTGAGCGGCAGTGGGAAACCCTCTCAAAGGTGCAATGCTCAGGGAGTGAACAGGGAACTGTCTTTCGAGTTTGTGTTTTAAGGCTCAGCGTTGCGAACAAAAAAAGGGAGAACACGTAGCACGTTGACTGGAGTCCATTTACACAGACCCTCAGGGAGCTGGTTCCACTGTGCCATCCGATATCAGCAGCGTTTGTGATTTAGTTTCATTTCAGATTGGACTCTCCCTTTATACATGATGAGTATGCGGATTAGCAGCATCTCTGTGCCATGGCCCTTGATTTGACATTTTTGTTGCTTGCAAAGTGATATCAATTGCGATGATCGGAATACTTCTGTTGTTGTCATGAATCGCAGCTTGGGGCTTCGCCGCCTAAAAGCGCAAAGCTTCAGTACTCTAAGCGGGTGAGGTTGATGACAGCATGGTTAACTTCCTACTCCGGAGACCTTCTTGGAGTCCGAAACCGGTAGTCAAGAAACCTAGCACACGTGCCCCAAACCTCACCCCCACTTCCACTGTTCCCTACTTCACAGTCAAGTCCGGCGTTTCCGCGCACTCCACTCATGTGGGCATATGCAGGAGCAATTCTTGGAGCCGATGGGAGCTACTCGCATTGATTCCTGTGTACATGATGAGACAATGTCAACGAATAAAATGGAAACCTGCCGGGACGAGCAGAGGTGACCAGGGCGTCTGTTGTTCATAACATTCCGTGGTCAGATTCCAAAGGCTATGCGCCTTGATGGTGGTGACTTGGTTCTGGACTTGACCAGCTAACGGGAGCATCACTCTGCTTTCTACTTCATGGTTTCTCTGCATGTCTGTCCGTTTTTCATGGAGGACCCGGTGGGTGTAGAGGCTATCATGAAGACATGCACTGATGTCTGGGCGCGGAGTCTGCTTCTTTTTTGTTTGCAGCCGGCGCTGCAAAGACTGGGGCAAGCAGAAGTGTCTTCTTGGAACAAGCAGTATTCTTATTTTCAGAGCACCTATGGTATCATTATTTCCATGAGAAGCGACTTCGCAGAATGTCTGCGCACTGAGATCTATGACAAGTTGATCGGCAATCGCTGCATTGTCGGCGAGGCGCCCTTGTGCTACAAGCCTCCTGCACCATGGCGATGCAGATGGGTTCTTCTCAAAAGAATTTCAGGTGCCAATTGTAGCAAGTCATGTAGTATTTCGGGTTGCAGATAAGGCGTTCTGGAATGTTGGGCACAGCTGCTGAGTCACTACTTTAAACTACCATGCAACCCCTGAAATTGGTGATCTTTTTCACCGTAGTGGAGTGCAGGTGCCTCTATTGGCATCCCCGATTTTTGGTCAGGTCAGCCCAAGTCCCTTGCAGACGCCTTCTGAACGGGATAACAGGAGAACGGTCTTTGTAGTGCTTGTTTTGGGTTCCAGGTGTTATGGCCTAAACCCTAAACCCTAGTTTTGGGTACCCCAGGTTAGGCTTAGGATTCACCCTAAGGGAGCAAGGCTGCAGATTCCAAAGGCTCATGTTCATGTTTCGCGGTATGGGCGGCATAGGTGCCAGGTTGTGCGGAAAGATGAGCTTGATTCTAGATGAGTTATAGTCTACAGTCCTTAGCAGGCGTTTTTATAGGGGATTATATAGGGGATATTCAGGGTACATTCAGAGTATATGCTATAGACATAGAGATCCTGCCTTTGTTGATCTGGGTTTCAAGCCGTCCACAAAAAGCCAAAACAAGACTTGACTTTGAAAATTAGCCATCGCAGGAATACCAGGTAGCCTAAGACTCTAGGGGTCCACGTACGCAAAAACTACTTTGAGTATCCATACAAGAACCGATTCATAGGCGCCAAGGCAAGAATACCTAGTTACTTGGACTCTCTGCAAAGTTTGGACACGCTGGTGGTCCCAGGTCTGCCTTGCGGGCAATGAGACCACCTGTACTCTGGAGACGACGCTTGGGCCGGTAGAGATGATATTTCGGGGTCTAAGACCTCTAAGTCTAGCCCTAAACACCAAATCTTCAACGCCCAACCGGCATTCAGTTCCCCTATGTATGCTCGCACAGCAAGCAAGGACATCATCATCATCATCATCATCATCATGTGCTAGATAGATGGTTGGATTCATGGTATGGGTTTCCGATGTTGGGCCTTCTGGCGCGTATCGCGCTGTTGGGCCGGATTTACGGCTACTGATCAGAGCATGTCAGGGGGTGTCTGCTATGAGATTTCTGAAGCTATAGAGCTTTGGGCCCAGGAGGCATAAAGCCCCATGCAAGTCCCTCACCCACAATCCCAAACCCCTAAACCCCTAACCCCCTAAACCCCTAAACCACAAGGAATGCTTCCACCACCCTTGGCGCAAGCGTCTTCGAAGCTGTCTGGAATTCCAGCTTCTGGGTCTGCATATCAAAGGTAATGCCAGCATATGCCCCTGGATCACGGTGCTTTCTTCAAAAGAAGGACCCAAAGAATCCCTTGCGCTTACTAAAAGCCCAGATGATGACTAGTCTTTCCGGCGGTCCAAATCCCGGAAAAGGAGTGTTAAACGGGCGACGGGCTAAGATTCAGAAGGAACATTCGATCATTAGAACTACATTGCGGGATTGCCTGGATTTCCTAGCAAATTGTTTTCCCTCGTTCAACGAATATCTCCGTCAATGTCAGGAACTCTTCGGCTGAGAGGGAAGGGGACAGGGAACGTCGTGTCGATGTTGGGAGAAACCACTAGTAGGATCCGTATTGTAGTTGTAGTCTCTTCCAGGGAAAGGGTCAGCTGATGAATCAGGTGTCTACGGCACAAGTTCAAGATTCAGACGGTCTCATCCTCAAGTTTTTGAAAAAACTAGGAGCGCCATAATTTCATGAGTCCAGATCATGGATGCAGAGTTGCCCACATGCGGTTTGTTGACGTAGGTGACTTCGACGTGACTCCACTTTGGGCGCGCAATGCCTCCTTAGCTGGGAGCCCAGATGCCAAGGCCACAAGCCCTTCTTAAACCCGATTTGGTCACGATGAGTGCAGTGGTGCTGACTGTATAGTTGGATTGCCTTCACCCCGCCTGCTGGCCTGTCAGACGTCAGTCCTTGTCCTGCACACCCCCTCTCCCACTTCCAACTCCCAGCTGAAGGAGTTTACTCAGGATGGCACAAGGTGTTTGCAGAAACGATCTCATGTTGGGTTCCTTGAGGTTCACCCACATAGGCAAGCCTCTCACAGGTACATCCCAAACCTTGGCTCTGAATCGTAAAGTCAAGCCTGTTACCCTGAGACAAGATTTCCCCACAGATCCGCGCATTATTCCAAATGCCTTCAACTCAAATCCTTCGCGGGGTGTGGAGCGGACGGGGAACACTCAAGCGAACGACCCTAAGCCTTTCTGAGGCTGCAAATATCTCAGCATCCCGATTCCTCGTTCGTCCCGTCTTCAACATCTCCTTCAGAGGCATCTTCGATGAGTGTTGATGCTATGACTCCTGCCTACTCTCACTGCGCTAGCCACATGTTCATTCGATTCCGTGGGTTGCAGGTCCTACGTGTCACGCAGGAGTGTACCACCGATTATATGCTGGGATTGTCCTATGGGAGAACCATGAATAGATTCCCATGTCCCACGAGGTACCCTAAGGATCCAAGTATACAAATAATGCCTACGTTGGGCCCCAAAGTCTGTAAATATCACCTACATTGGGCTACTCGGATCCCTAGGGCTACAGAGAGTGGGATGTCGGTGGCTTCTAAAACTGCAGGGCCCTGACCTTGGATCCCTTTGTTCTCTGACCCTTCGACCGACAGCAAAGAGCAGATATGAAATCTCCTCAACATTTCTGATCGATGCCCCCAAAAATTTCCAAGTAAATCTGTGATTTGAAGAAACTTGCATATTGCAAAGATGTCGTGGTCCACAATTCTACGACAGATTCTCATGCAAACCAGTTTTTCAACGGCTCTCCGCAGAATTCATTTTTCCCCGTTGAAAGAGAGAGTCCAGTGAGAAGACATCCGCTTCGAGTTCTCAAGAGGCGGCCGCGGATACTTAGGCCTACTTGGATGGTCAGGGGGATTCAGGAAGGAGGTTCATAAGGGGGCATAAGAAGGGTTTCTATATGGGTTATAGGGATTATTAACCTGCTTACTAAGTCCCCCCGACCCTCCAAGTACTACGCTTTTTTCACAAAAGAAACCTGCAAGTAAGACATGGCTGGTAGAAAGGTATTAAGAGAAGAGGCTCAAGTTGACACCCTGTGTAATTAATTTTAGGGTCCAAGGACCCAAATAGCAGGGCTTCAGGGCCATTGATATCATAGTATTTGGGTCCTAAAACCCTATTACTTGGGTCCTTGGACCCTTGGGGTTACTTAAACTGGCATGTGATCCTTGTTGCCACAGGATTTCCCTTGTGATCTGCAGCGTAGTAGTACTGGATACTTTGCAGAAGGAGCCCTTAAGTCATGCCTCTAATCCGTTCAAAGACTATATTCCTCAAATGGTCGAAAACCCGAAGCAAACTCTTCAATTTTCATCTGCTTATTCACGTAGAGTAGGTATCTACACTTACTGCATTTATGTGGCGTTTCCAGGGGGATGATACTGGCTCTTACTCCCGGCTTCCAAACTATGTGACAGGCCCTGGCGGGGCAGGGAACTCTTCAGACTCCATCTCGGAGCTCTTTGAGGTGAATCTAAGCTTGCGAGACCTGAAGTTGGGTGTGCCTTGGCTTGAAGATCGCGTGAAGACGAGGATGAGCAGCAGTAGAAATGGGTATAATATATATGCCCCCCCCCAACATAGAGTGAGATCACTGTCGCCCGTCGTTTATCTCATTCTTGGTCTGAGGCAAATCGAATCCCTTGAGGTTCAACCCCTGAAGGACTGCCATTCTCACATATACCCAGCCAAATACCTGTTGTTGTGACTATCTAATGTTCCGATTGGGATGCTGTAGTACCTGCAGCAGCAGCCCTGTTATGCATATCTCCTAGTGCTACTGTGGCATGCGTATCTCCCTCCTGAAGCATATCTATTGGCGTAGCTGGGGACGCAAATAATGGATGTCTTCAAGACTGTTGCAGGTCCTGACACAAAACCCGTGGAAAAGACCCTACTGGTGGGTTACATTGGTCTCCTGGGTTGCCCTGACCAGCCCTTAAGACTGCATACCATTACACTCCTTGCCCCAACAATCTGACCCAATCTTGGAGAAGGCCCAAAGCCTGAATCCCCCTTTAAAACAAAAGATTCACACAGCATGACCTCTCCGAAAGGATTCGTTACCAGAACTGTTCCACAATCTCCATATTCTACTGACACGCTTCTTGTCAACTATGAAGGCATCCGTATGAAGTAATGCATTTGCCTTGCCAAGGGACCATAAGGCTGAACATAGTGGTCCTTCGTGCAGTTTAGGATACTCCCTAATATTTTCCCTAAACAGGAACCCATGTCCATTAATTCTGCTGGGGAAATATTGACTGGAGCTCTTATCCCGATAAATGATCCTTCAGCCCTAAACAGAGAAGCTCTGGTATAGAAGGCAAATATTTCAGCTGGCGTCGATGCTGCGAAGTACAGCAAGGTGCCCGGTCCGCAGTTCCTCGGCTAATCTTCGCTGAGGGGGCCAAATCGCTCTTCAATGTGAGGTGTGTGCGTAGTTTGTCTTGTGTTTTTTGTGGTTTCCTGCTGTGTTTTGTCATTTGCTGCTGTGCAAAGTGGAGGCGCTTGCTAGCGTTTGGAGGGTTTGGCTGCTACGAACCCTTTGCAAACCAGAAAGGCCAGAAGTAAGTTGTCAACAAGAAGGCTGAAGCGGAACTTGTTCAGCCGGGACGCAAACTTCTTGAAGGTTCTGGGTGCGATTTGCTGACAAGTTCCGCTTCTGCGCTGTTATTAACAAACAACGCTTTGGCTTCCGAAGGTCCTGTAGCAGCCATGTCCTCCAAATGCTAGCAGGCGCAGAATTTCGTGGACTAGATGTTCGCTAGTTTCCGAGCCACTACGACTTTCGCGACACCATGAATCCAGTGTAAAAAACTGCACTTTGCGTTCCTGCACTGAAGCCCCAACATCCCGAAACCCCCAGGCAAACTACGCACACGCAACCATGTTGGGTTGAGGGTCTGGGTACAGGAGTCTATATAACTTAGGCCAAACAGGTTTCAGATGCTTTGGAGGCGAAGTACGGTTTGCCCGGGCATGTGCAACCATGGAGTATAGGGTCTTTGCCATCTCTGGCTCGCCAGCTTTTCTGCAGCCACGCTGCAGCAAATGATCCACAGTCTAGAGACTTCCAGCCTTTCGTCCGTGCGCATTTTTCACAAGCACAAAGTTGTTGTTGGCAAGATTACAATGTGGTGCCTGAGACTCTGCTGTCTAGACGCGCGTGGATGCAGCACAGGGGGTTTCAGAGTGGTCTAGCTTGACTTCTGCACATGCGTGCTGGAGACATGGGTTGCACCTCAACGCTTCGTGCAGAACCACTGCGTCGTTCCTTCTAGCTGCGCGGAATAAAGCTGATTAGCTGAAAGGACTGGAGTTGAAAACAGGTTGGACAGTTATCACGTGTTTTGCGACGCTTTGAAGGCCACATTTCCTGCAAACCCACAAAGAAAAGGTGGCGCGGTAAAGACAAGCCAAGTCTGATCTGCCAGGCTATACTCCTCTGCCTGTTTCGGGCCATGCTTGGAAGACGTCCAGCTGACTCGCACTTTGCCAGCACCGTTTGAGTCTGCGTAAGATTGCCAGCATGTTCTGTGGCCTTAGACTAAGACTTGCATCCTGTCCACTTATCTCATGTGTACAGTCTTGACGCTCAGGATTTGCCTTGGCTGTAAGCGAAGAGGTCTATCTTTGGGCATCGTTGGTTGCTGAAGAACAATATCATATCATAGTTGTCTGCCTGGCTGGGATTTTCACTGCAATCCCTGCTACCGGTTTATGCAATTAGCAATGCCTTGATACCCCGCAAGGCCTTGTTTCGCAGTTCCAGTTGGAGCAGATCTCCGTGGGTTCTTTCGCCAACGAGAAACGCGGCTGCATGTATTTGCTTCGAACTACATACATATACAGGATAAATGACTTATCTTTCTTCGAGCTTCTAGGTCTCAAATTCACTGCCACCACGTGTGTTGTTACATCATTGCAAGCATTTGGCGGAGTGATCGGAATTCCCCGTGCCAGAAGTCAAGTACAGCTCTTTACGGGCAGCAGCTGGCGTCTATCTCGGCGTTCTTGTCTGCCTTTGAACGAGACAGGCATGGTTTCCGGATCCCACCATGTAATACGCAGCTTGCCATATCTCCGTTGCATTCTCAAGAAGGACTCTCTTGGAACATATGCTGTAGCTTGTGTTTAGAATCCAGTGCACTCACATGTCTCTAGGGCGCGCGCAGAACGACTCGACACGCTTTGTAGTCTACAACAGCCTCTTGCTGCACGAGCCTTCCCTTAAGCTGCAACAAGCTTCTGACCTACAAGCTACGAGCCTTACACCGCGAACACAGTCAACCCCGTCAACCCCGGCAACCCCAGCACCCTCAATCCAGGACGCGGCCCACTCTGCTGTCAGCTCTCCTGCGAACCGGGTCGCAGCTGCTAGCCCCACCCGCTGGAACTGCAAATTTCACTGAAGAGGTGGCACAAGGCAGGTATGGGTGGGCATGGCTTCAGTGTTTGCTGCTCGAAGGAAGACAGACACGTACAAATGAATTCCTGGGACAAAGGATTGTGGAAGCAGGGCCTGCGGTGGTTGTTGTATGGACTGTACACTAGCACCCTTCTGGCCGCGAAGATTATCTTTAGAACTCGGGAGGGGTAGTTCATCGCTTCACACGGGGAAGAAGCCCTGCCATACACGCTCTGACGAAGGCTGCCTGGGCTCTCTCACGGTCCAACCATAGCCTCAAAACCAAATTGTTTTCAATTCAAGTTGATGCCAGTCGAACCCAGTTGCAACTCGTATTGACCACCGCCAAGTTGGTTGAATCCGTTCTATTTCAGCCCCTCTTGCGCAACCAAAGTTCCTCTTGGCAGCAATCCTAGAGAATTAGGCCCGCACGAAATCAATTTTTCCCTTCGTAGGAGTTATAACTCGATTAGACGACGACGCTACTCAGGACATGAAACGAAGGGAGATACACTGTGGATGGAGGAAATCTTGCACCACCTAGTATAGCTTATACAACTCGAAATACAGTATTCGCGGGAGCCTTCAGCAAGTGGTGCAAGATTTCCTCCATCCGCCGTAGGGTTTGGGGTTCTGGTATTGTTGAGGTTCAGGTGCCATGTCAAAGACAGGGGCTAGGTGTACGCGGACTCTGCCAGAAAATGGGCATGCAGTTGTCAGAGCCTCCATTGCATGTATTACTCAATTTCCTGACTAGAAGGATCTTGATAGGATGCCCGGATGCTCCTCCCCTTCTCGGGATCGGCGCATTTTTGCAAATCTTGAGCCCTGCACCCCCAAACACTATCTGCCAAAACCCCTAAACATTCCCAAGCCCCGATCTGAGGTTGTTTTAGGCGTTCAGGGTCCTTGTTTTTTGCTGGAGGGGGCGTAAGGGATTGATTGTTTGGAGGTCGGCCGGCTGTGGTGTAAGTGCAAGTGACAGGACCTACGTTCAAAGTGTCAAGGACCGTTTCGCTTAGCGGTCACATGGATGCAAAACCATTGATTACTAGTCAGAGGCTGCCACCACGCCGTCGCTGTGCAGCCTTCCTGTCATCCTTGAGGTAGCCCCCACAGTTCGTTTATTCCCTCATTTGCTATGAACAGGAGGCAAGATCATTACTTGCAGCGGTTTGCTAATGGTATGGGGCTTATAACTAGACTCAATTAGATACACCTTGCACACCATGGGATGCTAGACCTGCCCCTACCGAAGTACAGAATACCTAGAGTCTAGAATGTAGGTAGGTTTTCCACTAGCAGAAGCTTGCCTGAGCCCACACAGACTAGCAGGCCTACTGCAACACCACATGGCTGGAGCTTGGAACGAGAGCCCCTTGGCATCAACTTGGACCCTAGCAGGCGTAATAGCAGAAGAGGAGGGAAAATTAGAGGTTCTGAAGGGTGAAGGTGGTCTTCGGGGTCCCCGTACAATGGGATCAAGCGCCCTGAAACTTCGATGAAGCAACATTTCCGCAATGCCGCGTCTGAGGCGAAAACCTAGATTTAGGGCTTTGGATGAAAGATAGTCAGATAGTCCACTGAGTCGCGGCTTAGCGGTATCCAACTCCTGGCTCTCAGCGCTAATCTTTGCTGAATGGAATTTTCTTAAGGTTCAACGGGAACCGCTCAAAAAACAGAGCGTTTCAAGTGGTTCGAACGTCCATAATCCGCAACCTGTAGTTGCGCAGGGAAATCTCCCAAAGCACTGATACTTAAAATGCTGCACGGAATGTGGCCTTGATGTTTGAAAGTCTCAGCCATCACTTCTGCGCTTGTTCTTTTTCAATGTCCTCAAATACCATCCACATGGAGTCATGCGCGCCATTTTGACAAAACCCCGCAAGAAACATGCATCGCCTGAAACTGATGCATAGTGCAGGAAATCTTCCATCAGCAGTCGGAAGACCAATCTGAAGACTATTCAAGCCTGGAGATTGCCCAGGGAGTTCTGCTGCCTGCCAAGGTCTGACGCAGTGGATGCATGGCGTCCAGAAACAGGCTTGTTGGCAGCGTGTATGACGAGACTCAAGGAGACGCATTATCAGCAATGATCGTACTAGCACTGGTATTACATCTAGTAAGTACCTGCACGGTGCTGACAGTCATGAGCCACGGGAATTGAGAGTTAGATGCGACAGCGAGAGTATTTGTCTTCACGTGTGCAGTTCATGTAGTGTCTGAAGCCCGGGTAAAGCAATTATGGTGTTCTCGTCAAGTTTGGAAGCAGTTCTGCATTCAACAGCCATATCATTCTAGCCCCAAAGCCCTCAAGTACAGCCTGCAAAGGTAGCTCCTGCTTTGCATTCCCCACCTCAACAAGAGTCTGTTTAGTTCACCATTCGGTCGTGCCACAGCTTGGGGATGAGAATGTCTGACGTCTGGCCTCAGACATCATAGATCCGGGGACAAAACGGCAGAGACACGTCTCGACTGCCCCCAAGGAGGGGAGCGGAACTAGAAGCATCAAAAAGCTCCAGCTTCTCTCAAATTCATAGACAGCTACTGCCGGGACTGTGCAGTCCAAACTGAGACTCGAGACGTTAACAGCGAGCGAAAAAGGGCAGACTTGTAGACTTCATGGTGAAGACCATCATAGCAAGGGCTGTCATTATATATCACCAGTATAACCCCAATATACTATAGTAGTTTCCATTTTATTTTCCATTATTCCCTATATTACCCCCTAATATAACCCTAATATTCCTAGTTTGAATGACAGCGCAGCAATCATCGTCTCGTTGGCCAGCCATGCCTGGTTCGTACTTGCCCTAAGCATCCAAGTACCCAATGATTAGGTATGTGGGCGTTGGGTAATACAAGGTATAGTAAATTATAGTACAGGTTTTGGGTAAGTATATGATTATTGCGTACTTGGACCCGTAGGGTCACCTAGGTATCAACATTCAATGTTTAGACTGGTCATAGCCTATTATGGCCCTTCTTGTCACTGCTGTAGATCAAGCAGTGCGTCGCAGTTTAATCACCTACATTACCCATTGGATGTTCCCGATGTAGCCAGTATGTATCCAACGCTCCTTTCGTCCCTCACCCTAACCTGTAGTCTCCGCAGAAAATGTTGTTTGTACTTTTGTCTTAGCATAACCCCAAGGAATTAGTAGAAATAACATGTTTATTGTAGGTCCAGGGGTGTTACAGAAACTTACCTGAACCCCAAACCCTTGTTTCACTTCATGTTCCATTTGCATTTCCATTCGAGTCTCCCCTATTGGGGGATAATAGAACTGAAATGTAACCCTATATCATAGAATCCCACAGAAACCATAAATAGTAGTTTGCATTTTCTTTGCCATTATCCCTATATAACTTCTAAATTACCCCTATATAACCCCATTATAATCCCTGCACCTCCTGAATCCCACAGAGCCAGGCTTGTCCAGTCCCTCGCGGACAGGAGGTTTACCAGTACACAGGCCACCCGGCCTGGAGTACAGGAGGGGAGCCAACATATAGAAACCTTGCGCAGGCTTAAAATGTCTTTATACCCCTGTTATAAACTCCCCCAGGCCCCCAAGTGGAAACCCCCTTCTGTGGGTAGTCCTGATTCGGTATGGCATTGTAAATCCTACAAGACGGAACTGGAGGTTGGCGAAGCTCTGGAGATGTAAGCATCTTTCGAATCCTGACTCTTGGGGGGCATAATGATAGTAATACTAATGATAGTAGTAGTAGTAGTAGTAATGAACCAGGATAGAAAACTTGAGAATCATTAGAAGGTCCTTGGATTAGCAGCCGCCTTGAGCAAGGTTAGAGATTCACAGGTTGCTGCGGGAGGTGGGGCACCCCCAAAAGCCCAGCACCCCAACATCCCGGCACAGACAACAGCTTTTTACAGGTTTATAGCTAGGCTTTTTGCCCAGGGAGAAGCTCGAAAATCTGCTCATTACAGCTGCCGCTGAGAGGGGTTCTTCGAATTCTAGGAAGCCCTGGGCAACTATGCTGCTTCGAGCCCGGGACAGCCAAACTCTTCCCAATCTAACCTTACTGGTGCTTAGTAGGGAATAAGAGAATACAGTCCTTATATAATCCCCAAAAACAGAGTATTTTCCCTCCTTCCGTACCCTGAACCCTCTACAATGTGTTCCTTTATACCTACTAACCCCCGAAAGCAATTGAGAGGTCGTCGGCTGATCCTGCCAAAGTTCGGAGAAAGCTGCCACTTGGCCTGTCTAAGTTTTCTCACAGGGGGGGTAGCAGGAATAAGGGAATGTACTACATAGGGTTTAGGGTTTAGAGTAGGACGTACAGGACTATCTTACTTAGGGATGATATCCCCTTATTCCCTACTCACCACCAGGAAGCTCAGCATTTCCTAGTTCTTGCGAAAAGAAACGGCTTCTGCTCTAGTTTGAGGCGTTTAGGAGCAGGAGGAAACGGCAGCGGAGAAAGGGAAGGAGCTGCATGAGCATCAGCAGCAGCAGCGTTGTGAGCCTGGGTTGAACTCCGGCACCGCATGGATGGCATGCCCTTATCATGGCTTTCCTGCCGATACTCTGCAAAGCTGACGAGCAGATCCCATGAACTTCAATGCAAACTCAGATCAGTCATTCCGAACCTGAAGCCCTACGGGTGCAAGTGCAAACCTTTCGACATGATGCCAGAACCTTCAAAGTCTTTTCTTGCCAAGTATTATGTGTTTCTCTTGCTATAAGTCCTGCACAAGATTACATGCACTACAACGCGAACCTATGAAGGTGACCCAAACTTCAATAAGCTTTGCAAAATAGAAGGGGATGTCCAGGATTTTTCTTACTCCTGACCAGAAAGGTATATGCCGGTAAGGGTAGATGGTGGAGCTTTTCCTGGAATCATCTATTCCCTGTGCAGAAGCCCACACAGTCCTACGCACGAAAAAACTGCAGCGGTACAACAAGACAGTTTGGACTCGTGCCTGAACCCGAAACCCCCAAACCTGCGGAGCCTCTAAACCGATAACACTTCAACCCTTTACATCC